TTTATACATATGGTATAATTTACAGATTTATTTACTGAACTAATAGTAATAAAAAAATAACCTACTTGCAAATCTCACGGGGACATTGGTTACCGCCCCCCATTTGGAAATGAAATGATTGAAATGGTAGTAATGAGATTTGCTTTGATACATGATTAGGGCCCATGTGTTAGGATTGAATTTAGGGTGGGTGGGGGACTGCATGCAGAAAATAAGGAAATGAAAAAAAATTTCGAAAATAAAAAGAGAGGACAATTTAAACAATATACTCCCTGGATCTATTGATCCGAGTGCATAAAAAGAAAATTGTGGGTAATGAATACATGTGGGCAATTAGCTGCAGATCTGAAGCTATCCGGAAAAATATATATTGATAGATCCGGTCTATCAATATATATTTTTTCGGATAGCTATGTACAGATCTGCAGCTAGTGGGCAATGCAATGAAAACTTCCGGAAAATTCACTTTTAAAATTTTGACTATGCACGGAACATTTCTTTTTTAATTAAAAAAAAGTTTTAATGTCTCCGACACCACATTATCTCCGTATAAGTTTCTCTTGTCAAAGACACCCCAAAAGCAGGTTATGTAGTATTTTTTTTCATTGGGATCTGGAGTCCAAAATCAGTAATCAGTAAAAATGAAATACCGATCCCGATGGAAAATATGGAATGGCGGCTTGGCAACACAGCAGCTGAGTGATTGAGTCCCCGGTTGTACACCATGTGAATGCTACAGACTGTATCTCTGCAGTGTGTGTCCCCGGTTGTACACCATGTGACTGCTATCTCCTGACTATGGCGGCAACGTGTTTTTTCAAGGTTAGTCATGAAATATTCTAATTGCATGATGCATGCATGTGTTATCTGCTTTTAACCCCCAGTGCTGGCAGAGTAACCCTAAAATAGTGGTCCATGAAACAGAGTTACCTGTCCAGTAGGATATAGATGTATATTATTTATAATTGAAGGTGTTTAATCCGAGGTTCCTCTGATTGAAAAGATATTTCCTCATTAACTTTTGCATGTTGTGTTCATCTTCAGAAGATTGAATAGGAATATTTTTCTTGAGTTGCATGCACAGCATAGTTTTACCTCATTCACTAAACTTTGAGCCCAAGCTTTGTAAACTTTATCTTTTGCAGATGGGATTCTCATTCAGGAGGTACAAATAGAACAACACTTGGATTTAAGTACGTACCTTTTATACTTGCCTATAAGGCAGTCCACCTATAAGTCCATTGTATTTTTTAAGCTTATATTAGAGGAACTGAACCTATCAAATACCAACCTTTTTATAACTTGGCTATAAGTTGGACCAAGAGTTTTTTACGAAAGATCAACTCCCCGATAACTGATTAGGCGAGTATATATGGCTCTAAATTCGCTCTTGCGTACATTTGGGGGGACAAATAAAGAAATTTGTAGACACTCTTTTCTCTTAAATTTCTTTATGTATATTTGAAGTTTACACTTTAATAAGGGTGAAACAATGTTTGAATAGATAATCAAGTCAAAAATAAATATTTAATTAATGTTTGAAATGTATGAAACGTAACATATGACAGACATATAACGTAACATGACAGACGTGTAACATATTATGACATGATTAAATTACATTTTTTGATGTTTAGCAATACAAATAATTAATAAGAAATAAATTTAAACAATTCTTTAAACAATATTTTTAAAAAATCATTCTGACATAGAAGGAAAAAACGATTTTTAGGCTACTTTTGATGCAAAAACTGACGAACGTAACACTGACAGACTTCTTTACTTAAGCCAGCCAAGTCACCTTTAAACTTCATTATTTTAGCAAAAAGGTAATGTTATCTTATGAAATTTACTTTGTTCAAATTTTTATTCCTTATAAATTTTAAATTAGAATTTTTCTAAGATAAATCTCTGCCATACGCTTTGTAACATACAAAATTTCAACCATGTCTGTCATGTTACGTTATTTCTTGAGCAATACCCGTTTGAAACGAGCCAATAAAATTTATTATTCAAAGCTAATCTTTTATTCTTAGGAATTAGAATACATAAAATAATATTATTTATGAAAATTCTTATGAAATTTTCAAAATAACATTATTTAATATTGATAAAACCTATAACGTTACATGGACAGACGCACGTAACCCTGACAGACACGTTTTAAAAATTGCAAGAAAATAACTATAAAATTGTATTGTTTGAGTTATAAAGACAAATTCTGCCTTATAATACAATAATATGTTTGAATAAAATATCTTTTTGGTTTAATTCACTGAATGTTTAAATCTGAATGAATCTGCTTGATGAACGTAACATGGACAGACATTTGGTTTGTCCGTCATCGTTACGATAATATTCGGGCAATGTCTGTCAATCGGTAAGTTATGTAAGAAATTCCAAATTTGAAGTGTTTATCTATTACATGAAGAGCGTGCAAGTTCATAATTTAAACAAAACGTACAAAATACATCTACTAGTTGACAATCTTTGATGATATGTGTATAAAATCTAAGATAAAGACGACTTATAGTTTTGTGAACGTAACATACTTTTTGTAACGTAACACTTAGACAGACAAGCTTTCGTGGCTTCTCTGAATCTCTCGGTAGCTCTTCCGATAGAAATATAAACACATTTGCATAGAACATTGGAGAAATTTTAAATATTCATGACCTTAAGTGAAATGCATGCGAAGAAGCGTCTCCGAGCTCAATTCTTAAATTTGCACGTAACGCCCACTTGTCAGGACAGACACAGGAAGCATCTCACAGATTTGTTAATTTCTCAGCACACTAGCTTTTCTGTTGAATCTGTGACCACTTAATTGATAAAAAAGTAAACTTTCTACCACTGGACAAGAAAATTAAGAGTGTTTGCATAAACAATGTCCCATTTAATAGCAATTTACCATGTGTATTGAGACGGACAGACGTTACGTTCAAAATATGAGGAGAAATAAAATTCATTTTTTCTTTTATTTGAGTCATAATGTGCATTAAAATACTTTTGTATGTAAATTCTATCCTTCCTAAACAGTAGTAAATAAAAATATGCTGTGTACAAGGTATTATTGCCGTATATTAGTCTTTTATTTTGACATGGTTGAAAATGTCCCCCTACACATGCGTGATTCTAGTGGAATTTTCAAATTCTTTTCAAGAAAAATAAGTAAGTTGATGAAAAAATCTGCTCATATTATCTTTTCTATATATTTGCAATATAGTTGTCAATATAAAATATTTTTTATTAAAGTTTTTTCAATAATTTTTGAAATATTTCTCTTGTAAAAGTCATAGGTCAATATGTACACAAGAGCGAATTTAGACCCATATAAAGTACTTGACCCATATTACCAGTCTAGTCGAACCCTCAAACGAGGGTAAACAGATGTTGGAAATCCGTACCCTCAAATGGGGGTACGGGGCATGCGCAGACACTCAAAAAGTGCCGTTTTCACGGAAAAACGTGTGGTCCACAAAATATGCTCGTGCAAAGTGATGGATTATTTCGTAGCTCTGTATGTACTCAAATTTGATAGATTAAAGATGTTTAAAGAGATTGTATTGCGAAAAAGTATATGTTTATTGTAAAAATCGAGACTTTTTCTCTCCCAAAGTTAGCGTATTCTGTGCCTTGACCTCCGTGTTTGATACAACTAGATTTTTTTATGCATAATTTAATAAAACGGATGAATAAACAAAACATGTTTAAAGTTAAACTACATATAATTCCGTTCCCCGGTATTACAAATTTTGTGTAATGAACATGTTATTTATTATTTTTCGACACTTTCTTCAGTGCCCGTCCGAATTTCCTCTGTAATGTAAACAAACTTTTGTGTTTCAGAAATGAGGTAAATAAAAACGAAAATTAATTTATTATTTTTTTAAATTAAAAACAAAGGTGTAGACAATTCATTTTTGTATGTTAATGATTTTTTTTTTAAAAATTATTTTTCAAATAAGAAGAGTTATCGTTCTTCTGCTTTCGCACGTTGCATTTAGGGAAGGAAAACCCTCGTTTGAGGGTAAACCCCCGTTTGAGGGTTCGACTAGACTGATTACCCTCAGATTCAGTGGAATTGAATGCATAACACTAACAGATATGTATGCATGTTCTAAAATACCCAGTTTATATTAAAAAAAATTAGTACTTAATGCGTCAGTTACCGTAAAGTGATATAGCATTGTAAAATTAGAAATTTAGAATATCAAATATAAAAATACTTATTTGCTTTTTTTTTTAGATGCTATTAGTTTCATATCAATCAGCACACAATTAAGTTCTGCAGTCATGAATCTGAGCTATGGGAAAAGAATGGTACAGTGTATACTTGCATTTCTTTATTCTTTATCATGAAATTGATGATGAATAGAGGAAAAGTCTAATTTTGCACATTTATGATAATTATGTTGATTATTTTACATTGATAAATTTAAGTAAAACAGAATAATAATTCTGCAATATATAACTATGAAGAGATCAACCTTCATAGTTCAAAAATTTTATTCTTTTATTCTGAATTTCAGTTAAAAGCAGGATTAAACATGATGAGTGAAGAGACATGTCATAATAAAAAGGTAATTTGATATAAAGAAAAGTAAAAATAAAAAGAATTTATCATCTGTTAAAATGTTTTTTAGTTAGCAGTACGTGGCTATAATCATGATTGTCAAATTAGAGTGAATTGATCTTACTGTAGATCACTTAATTTTCACGACACAGTATTTTCACGACATAGTCATTGACTCTTCATTAGAAGGACAAAATGTTAACAATTTGTGGTCATGGCTCTATATATAATTTTACAGAATTCTATTATACGCGAGATAGAAATTTTCATGATCATCACATAATTACACTAAAATAAAGTTCTTGCGAATGAGAAGTGATTTTCAGTGTATTAAAGCCCTTGTTCTTAAAATCTATTAACTTTCAATTCCTAAGGAGTTAAAAAAATATGTATGTGACACAATTCTTTATTGAAGAAACGCAGAATGAGCCCTACAGAGGAGGCAGCATTTTATTGTGAGGCAGGGCTGGACAGGGATGGCTTGGAAAATAGAGGTACTATGAGCACTGAATTCACTGAAAGATAACCACCCCAACCCCTAACACACACACCTCTTATGAACATAAGTAAAAATGTCCCAACACAAAATATAGCTCCTCACTAAAATTTCTTTAATGAATTTCATCATGATAATAATGAAAATCAATTTATTATCACTGTACATAATTATATAGAAACAAAATTTATAGTAAAAACTAAAACATGAAGCAGAAGGTTTTAAATGGAGATCAAGAACAAAAATTGCTCAACAGCTCAGGAACAAACCACTTCATAATGTATTTTTCTTAAATAAAACCTTCATTAAAACCTTTTCTCCACCATGTTCACCATTTTTATTTGCATTCTGAAGGAACTGGTTTGTTTGCCACCAAAGATTTTCCAAAGGGATCCTTTCTTTTGGAAATTGTTGGTGAGAGAATAACTGAGGAAGAAGCAGGAGAAAGGAAGAAGCGAAAAAGAAAAAAGAACCCACTTTCATTTTACTTCTTCTCTTGGAAAGGTATAAAGTGGTAAGTTTTAAAGAAACAATTAAGGAATGAAGTTTATTTCAACTTTTGTTTTATGATACAACATAACTTAGGTTAGTTTAAGCTTAATAAACCATGAAGCCATTTCTAAAAAAGCATAAACTACCCCAAGTTATGTTATATTGTATAACATAAGATGAAATAAGCTTCATTTCTCATAATTTAATTTCAATGTAGACAATGAGACATTTTTTCGATATTTTCCAATGGAAAAAGGCTTCAAATATTGCATTTTTTAAAAGTTAACGTCAAACAGAGTAATACTTTTTTCACTTCACTCATTGTGAAATATACATAGGCAAGTTAAGTTATACAAAATGGATAAAATCGTTTAGCCAATCAAAAGACGTGTAACAACTAAAATTAAGTTATTTGAATTTGAATATACATGAAGTCAAACATTGTTATTTCGAACATGATATATATATATATATATATATATATATATATATATATATATATATATATATATATATTTTTTTGTATGTAACTTAAATAATACATCATTATTTGAAAGTATTGATGCCACAAGGACGAGGAACAGATTTTGTCATGTTGCTAATGCTGCTCAAACTGACCTCAAGGAAAATGCGGCTATGAAAGTTAAAGTGTTCAAGAATTACCCCCGTCTTTGTTTATTTTCAACAAAGTGTATCAAATCTGGGGAGGAAATATGCTATAATTTCATGAAATCAGGCAATCTTCCTCGGAGAGAAGATGTAAGTTTTTATTTAATGAAAAATATATTTTCCCTGAAAATACTCAACATCTAATAGAAAAGTGAATGTTTGATAAAATTTACAGTTAAGAATTATATTTATCATGTTTAATAGACAGCCAGTTCTGTGTCAAAGACAAAATCTGTAAACAAATTTGACGAGCTTGGTAAGAAAATTATTACATAGGGCTGGAACGATATTTTACAAAAAAAAAAACTGTAAAACAATTAAGCTCATAACAATGAAAGAACCAGAAATGGATGTTTTTGCTACTTAGACATAATTTGTTATTTACGTTCAGTTCAAGATTATTTTCAGTCATTGGGAATAATATTGTTATAAGTCTAGAGCTAAATCATTATAAGCATTTTTATTATTCATAAAGAACTGTATAGGTTTTTCCAATCCAAAATGAAGATTTTAGAACCAATTAGTAATATCTTGATATTTTCGTATTACATGTATCTATTGTGGCGTATGTCTATAAAGAATACAGTGTATCGTCCCAGTCCTATCATTTTTCATGATTACACTGCTGTTAAGTGTTTCATGATGTTTTATTGTTTTTAATAAAATTTATCATTTGAAGAAAATTCTTACTTCATCATGTTTATAACTTGAAAATTCTCTGATGATACATGTATATATTTAAATATTGCTCCTCCCTGTTTTATTTTGCAAAATTTAAGTCAAAAAGCTGTTGATTAATTATTATTTTCATAATTTTGCATTGTCATTGCCACTTAAATTTGAAAACTCCTTAATTTTCATAGCAGTTTATGCATTTGTAAGTTGATAAGTTACGCATGTACAGTCTGTCATGCTAGGGATTTGTTGTTAGATGCATGTCAAACAAGTGGTTCTTTTTCTTGGAGAAATACATTTTACTTTAAAAGATTTATTACCTGTCAAAATATGGAGACAATATTTAAGCGTAAATAAGGCACCCTAAACTCAAATTATTTTGGGTAATAAGATTGTAGTATGAAAATATTTCTGTGAACCAATGTACTAGCAAACTTGCTAAAAATTTATCTTCAGTAATTAAATCTAGATTTATTGTATATTGTATAAGTATGATATACCTCTGAAATCCCCTCCTAGTACAAACACTAAGTAATTGCAATCATTAAAAAAATTTTGTTTGATGTACTCCGACCCACATTTTTCAAGGTGGGTAGGTGGATTTTTTTTGCTTGACAGTATTGATCAAATTAATAAGGTCATAGAAATTCATAAATGTCTTGATGTTTTCAATACACACTAGATAACTTGACAGAACAACAATTTATTGCTGTTAAAAATTGCAACAATACAAAAGCATCTTAAAGAAATTATATAGCTTAGCTTGAGAGAAAACTTACATAAATTGTGATATTTTATGCATCTCCTTTTGTATTGGTTTAATTCATACACATCTATGTCCCCTATTGTATTGGTGTAATTCATACACACATGTCCCCTATTGTATTGGTTTAATTCATACACACGTGTCCCCTATTGTATTGGTTTAATTCATACACACGTGTCCCCTATTGTATTGGTTTAATTCATACACACATGTCCCCTATTGTATTGGTTTAATTCATACACACATGTCCCCTATTGTATTGGTTTAATTCATACACACATGTCCCCTATTGTATTATGATAAATTCATAGTTACACACAATTCCCTAATTGTATTGTAATAAATTATATATCCCATACTATTTTATCAAAATTATCACAGTTACTGCAATCTTTTTGCTGTAATTTGCTGTAATGCCCTATCATGAACAATTCAGTGTGTTTCATATTGGTCTTCAGTCATTCTCCATCTGCTTGTCCAATATATTTTCTGTGAAAAGTTCTAAATATTTCATACATTTTCACATTCTGTTGAAATGTTATCAACTTTAGTTTAATTTTTAGGTCACCTGAGTAAACTCAGGTGACCAATTGCTATCTGTTTTCGTCCGTCGTCGTCCGTCGTTCGTCGTGTGTTAACATTTGTACATTTTCAGCTTCTTCTCTGCAACCACTGAACCAATTTCAACCAAATTTAGCACAAAGCATCTATGGGTGAAGGAGAACAAAAAATTGTGAATTTCATTATCCCTGCCCCCCTGGGGCCTGAGGGGTGGGGCCAAAACCACTGAAATTAATGCAATCTTTAAAAATCTTCTTCTTTACTCCTGGACATCAAGCAGTCAAACTGTTTGCATGATTGTAATCAGCATTGAGTCCTTTACCAAAATTATGAAATTCATGGCCCTGGGGTCAGGGGTTCTAGTGCTAGGGCGGGGCTAAATAAGTAGATAGTGAAAATGCATTATTTCTTTGGAAATCTTCTTCTCTACTCCTGGGTATTAAATAAACCAATTAAGTACATAGTTATGATGAGCAAGAGTGCCTCTACCAAAATTGTGAATTTTATGGCCCCAGGGTCAGGGGTTCTGGTGTTAGGGTGGGGCTCTATTGATTATATATACTGAAAATACATGATTTCTTTGGAAATCTTCTTCTCTACTACTGGGTTTTAAATAAACCAATTAAATACAAAGTTATGATGACCAAGAATGCCTCTACCAAAATTGTGAATTTTATAGCCCCAGGGTAAGGGGTTCTGGTGTTAGGGCGGGGCTCTATTGATTATATTTAGTGAAAATACATGATTTCTTTGAAAATCTTCTTCTCTGCCCCTGGGTATTAAATATACTAACTAAGTGCATAGTTATGATGAGCATGGGTGCCTTTACCAAAATTGTGAATTTGATAGCCCAAGGGTCAGGGGTTCTGGTGTTAGGGTGGGGCTCTATAGATTATATATAGTAAAAATACATGAATTCTTTGAAAATCATCCTCTCTGCACTTAGGTATTAAATATACTAACTAAGTGCATAGTTATGATGAGCAAGAATGTTTTTACCAAAATTGTGAATTATATGGTCCCAGGGTCAAGGGTTCTGGTGTCAGGGCAGGGCTCTATTGATTATACATTGAAAATACATGAATTCTTTGAAAATCTTCTTCTCTGCTCCTAGGAATTAAATAAACAAAGTACATAGTTATGATGAGCAAGAATGCCTCTTTTATGGCCCCAGGGTCAGGGGTTCTGGTGTTAGGGGGGCGGGGCTCAATTGATTATATAATGAAAATGCATTAAATCTTTTAAATAAATTTTTCTTTGTCTCTCTGTATAAAGCAGATGAACTATCTTTTATAGTTATGATAGGGTCAGGGGTGGGGTGGGGTGGGGGCTCTACCTATATACTGAAAATTAATTTATTGTTTGAAATGTGCTCTTTTGTATTTATAAAACATTTATTCATTTTTTGATATCAAGGGTGCCTATTTGAAATTTGTGCAATGTGTGGACCTAGGGTCAGGGATTTATGTCACAGTGTTAGGGGCACTACTGGTTAGTTGGAGTGCATTTTTGTTCCCCTACCCTGCATATGGGTATTCAGTAACCAAGTTAAGCAACTGCTATGTGTATTGTTATGATGATCAATGGTGCCTCTTTCAAAATTGTGAATTTCATATAGCATCTGGCTTAAAACATGAATTAAATTCAATAACTGGAAAATTGTTGCATAATGCTCAGGTGACCTATAAGGCCTGTGGGCCTCTTGTTTATCTTAAAATGTCTTTTTGTTTTTATTTTTTTTTTGTATTTAGCTCAGTTTCAAAAGAAGTATTGAAGATATTTTTATCAAATTGCTTAATGTTATACGTATCCCATATATATCCTAGCTATTGAATTTATAATCATTTTTTATCCTTTGCTTAAAGTTCAAACCAATAGCGACCTTGCAGACTTGGTAGCTATCACTTTGTGTGTTTTCGGTCAATATCAATTGCCATGAGTCCTTATAACCACATATCGACCTACACTTAAGTCCATAAGTGTATCATATTTTTAGCCATTTTTTTTATTTTTAAATAGATGACAGCAAACATGAAATTGACCGGGATCCTTTCGATGTTGAAAAAGAGGGAAAGACACATCAGGCATGTAAAGGTATTTGCTGATTTTTTTTTCTTACAAGAGGGTTACTTAAATTAAAATGGAAATCTACATGTCACTCACTTTGTTGAATCTAGTAATTTAAGTTGTTTCTAGATAAAAATAATTGTTTCCCATTCCCAAATCAAAGGGCATTATCAACATTAACTGTTCATAATATGCAATCACCTTGTCATTTAGAAAGTCACAATTATGAAGAAAAGATTAATTGGAGAAATAAATGAGAAACTAGTTTTTCACTTTGTTTCAAAAATCTTTTAGATGGATCTCTACCACAGCAAAGTGATGAGAAGATGATAGTACATGTCACATTCAGTGGCTTTACAAGTGATGAGAAGGTATAACTATGTGATAACTGATATACAATACAGTAAATTTTTTTTTGTCCAATTTGGATGTCAATAGTTCTGTAGAAAGGATAACTGTTTGTTACACTCTGTTTGGCATCTTCCTTGGTTGTATCCTCCATAACGGAATCCCCCTAAGATTTTTTTTTTTAATTTAACACCAAGAATTTAAATGATTATAAAAAAATTATTACTTGTATATTTACATTAAAAGTACATGTATATGTTTTTATATGTTTTTTATCTCCTGATTATTGTCTTCTATGTCATTGAGCAGGTGGAACTTCTGGCCATTGCAAAAAGAATTGATAGTATAAAGGTAGAAGAGTCCCTTACTGAACAAGTGACACATTTGATCATGAAAACAGGTAATTTATATTCAGCCTTCAGAAGTTTGTATGATAAATGTTAATTACTAGTTATTTGTAGTTACGAAGAATTTTCGAAGAAAAAGTTCACCATTAAAGTTAATCATGAAGCACAAGGCTTTAATTATTTTAGAATGAGATAATTTTGTTTTTCTAGCTCAATTCTGTCAAAGGCTTATTTTTAAATGTACTATATATACTAATCACTGGGGACTGTAACATAGGTAAGATTTAAGATACTATGCATCCATGTAACTATAGTATTAAAGATTTTTTTTTTCAGATGAAAATGATATGAAATTCTGCAATAGGACCCTTAAATATTTAAGGGGGGTCAGCAAAAAGTGCTGGGTCCTTAATGCTGGCTGGATAACGGACAGTGCAATGAGTGGAAAACTTTTGTCAGAGGTATTATCTTCATGATTATTTGATTTTTTACTCGATCTTTTATAAATTTGATGCATTGTTATTATTCCAATCATGATTTAATAGATAGCCTTTTTACCCACTTAGCAATTATGTTTAAAATTTCAATTTGTAGGAAAATTATGAAATCACAGGTAACATTATTGATGTAGCAGGGACAAGGACCCGAATTAATCACTTTGGACCTAGGAAGGCTAGAAGGAGAAGAGGAAAATTATTTTCTCATCTTAAATTTCACCTTATTGAAGAAAGTGAAGCAATGTGCACAGGTTATTATTTTTTTATGTTTTTATAAACACTGTTTAGAGTTTTTTATACTGTATTGCTGATTTCCCATGAAACTAAATTTTTTTTTTCGTAAACTATAAAGTGTGCGCCTCATGTACAGAATTTTGATTCAGAGATCATATTGGTTTTTTTTTGAAGGGGGTGTTAATTTTTGGATCAGATATATGTAATTTAACCACCTAGATGGTACATGTATATAATTTTTTTTTTTTACAGAAGATGCAGTCTTTCTTATAACACAGTGTGGAGGACATATTGTCCAGGACACATCAGCAGAGATTCCTAATTTAATATTGTATCTTGGTGATTGTGAGACAGAAAATAAAGGAACATCTATCGATAGTATGTATTTCAAAATTCATTCATTCACTGCATCAAATTAAGAACAGTTAGTCTCAAAAGAATTTGTATATTTGTAACCTTAATTCATTTAGGTTGTGTTAGAGACCTCCATAATGTGCAAGATGTCCCAATCATTGAAAGAGAATGGCTTATAGATTGCATATCATCATACACTAGAAAGTGCTTTAAGGAATATATGTTCCAGGTTATGCCAGAAGAATCAGGTAAACACAAATTTTAGAACCTATTTCATTCCTGTTTTGATATAAACATGTACATGCAATAAAAATTCTGTAAAAAAAAAATAGGCCAATTTAGGTGAAATACCTGGGATATTTATTTTTCAGGGACTCCAGAAAGAGAGGACGAAGAGTGGGTTGATAATTCATTTGATGAAGATTACATGCCATCGCCATCGGAATTGATCAATTTTGACTCTAGCTCTAGCAATGAATCTGCCACTAGTCCCATTCACCATTTTGATGCATCACTGACAGATTCAGCTGTTCAAAATCAGAGCATACCAAGCCTACCGTGTGATGAAGCTTTGGCAGACAAAGAGAACAGTTTTCATAAAGAATCCATTAGGGTACAGCAAACACACAATCTTGGATCAAGAAAATTGATCAATTTTGACTCTAGCTCTAGCAATGAATCTGCCACTAGTCCCATTCACCATTTTGATGCATCACTGACAGATTCAGCTGTTCAAAATCAGAGCATACCAAGCCTACCGTGTGATGAAGCTTTGGCAGACAAAGAGAACAGTTTTCATAAAGAATCCATTAGGGTACAGCAAACACACAATCTTGGATCAAGAAAATATGACAAGCAGTTCATGTGCCTTTTTTGTGAAACACCACAAGCCAAACTTCCACGTCATTTTAAATCAAAGCACAGCAATGAAATAGACGTAGCCAGATATCTTGCAGAACAGGACCCATCAGTAAAAAATAAAATGTTAAAAAGACTTCGAAACCTAGGAGCCCATCAACATAACCTTAATGTTATTAGAGAAAAGAAAGGTTCACTTATTGTTGCATATAGACAATCAGAAGAAACCCACTGGTCTGAATACAGTCCATGCCCACACTGTTTAGGCTATTATACATCTTGTGTACTGTGGAAGCATGTCAGAAGATGCGAGCTAGCACCATCACAACGTCAGAAATATGGCAAGATTTTACACTTCAGCAAGATGCTCATGCCAGCCAGTGAAGGAGAGATGAGTGTAGGACTAAGAAAAATTTTCATAACTATGAAAGAGGACATTGTATCAACTGCTGTCAAAAATGACTATTTAATTAGACAGTTGGGAGAAAAACTAGCATGTAAACATGGAAACAATGGAGAGCAATTCCATTATATAAGAAATTGTCTGAGAGAAATGGGTCGCTTACTTTTATCTCTAAGGAAGCAAACAGGAGCAGATGATGCAGAACTTTCATCTTTTATAGATCCCAGAAAATTTGATATTGTTGTACAAAGCACAAAAGAAGTTTCAGGGTTTTCCATGGAAACAACAAAATACAAAACCCCATCACTTGCTCTAAAGATTGGATATTCTCTCAAGAAATGTGCTGGAATTATGAAAGGAAATGCCCTTAGAACTGGTGATTCTGAAGTGGAGGCAAAAGCAAGCAAGTTCATTGAGTTATATGAACTAAAGTGGAATGAAGAAATAACACCTCATGCTTACAGAACCTTAGAGGAAATGAGAAGAAATAGAGTACATCTAATTCCACTGACAAATGATGTTATCCTCTTAAACAATTACCTGCAGAATGAATTTCAAAAAGCCTATGACAGACTTACTGAAGAAAAAAGTAATAAAGATGCATGGTCCCTTCTCTGTGAGCTAATTTTGGCACAAATAATATTATTTAATCGAAGAAGACAGGGAGAGGCTTCAAAAATGAAGGTTGTAGACTATGATAAAAAACATCGCGCAAATCAGGAAGATGTTTTGACGGGGCTGACAGACTTGGAAAAAAACCTTTGTGCAAGACTGGAAAAGGTGGACATTGTTGGGAAAAAGGGAAGAACTGTTCCAGTAATTCTAACTTCAAAGATTACCTCAGGAATCAACCTTCTTTTGAAGACTAGAAAAGATGTTGGTGTGGCAGAGTCAAACAGTTACATATTTGCCAGGACAAGCTTTAACTCAAACGAGCATGTCCGGGGATGTGACGTCCTTAGAGATTTCTCAAACAAATGTGGTGCAGAACACCCAGAACTCTTAAGATCGATGAAACTAAGAAAACATATTGCTACCTTATCACAAATATTAAACCTGAAAGAAAATGAGGTGGACATTTTGGCAACCTTTTTGGGACATGACATCAAAACACACCGTGAATATTACAGGTTGCCAGAGGAGGCCATACAAGTGGCCAAGGTTTCCAAACTGCTATTAACCCTCGAAAGAGGAGAACTGGCCCTACAGAAAGGGTTGTCCCTTGATGAGATAGAAGTTGACCTCGAGGAAGGTAAATTTCATTAAACCAACTTCAATATAATTATTTGCAATTTTTAAGTATGAAGGCTTTATATGAGTTACATTTGAGTTGAACATTTTGTTTAAATATATTTTTATCATGCCCTTAAAAATTAAATATTTGGGATATAAAATGTGCCTCTCTGTGGCAAAACATAGATGCTCCCCAATCAACTAATAAGCCCCAAAGCAAGACATGTACTAATAGTAAAAATTAACTTTCTAAACAGTTAGGTTATTCGCAAGTGGAAATAGGTGGAATTGGAATTTTTAAAAAGATGGAATAGGTAGAAGAAACCTTGTGTTCATGAATTAACAGCGACAAATTGCTTTTGTTTGTCTACTGCAAAAAATTTTCTTCCCCACTAGAAAAAAGAATAGAGCTTCTTTTTTTACTTTACAAGGCTGGAATTGACAGATTGTATTGCAAAGACTCTGCTGAGTCTGCTCCATGCTCACCAGTTAACTGTTAAATGAAATATACCTCATCCATGTACATTGTACTTCAATTTCCATTTTTACTGCATGGTTGCATTCAAGCCATAAAAGAAACAAACTATAAGGAACAGTTTATGTGTAGTTGTATTCTATACACTTTTGAAATATGCTCACAGGAAGAGAAATTCAAGAGCCATTGTTTGAGAAAAAATTATCTAAATGTATTGATTATTTAATTTTTTTTAGAAATTGTGATGAATGAGGAGGAGGAGGTGGATGAAGATGATGAAGATCAAGGGATCCATACAGAGGACATGGATGAAACTGGTAAATGCTATGTCTTTGAAATCTGGAACATAACTGGATTTTAAATGTTTTAATTAACCTAAAGATAAAAAACATGATGAAATATTTGTAAAAAAAAAATTGTTTCCAAGATCATTATTATTATCCCCAAGCAAACAAAGATTGGAGGGGGGTATGTCAACATTTATTATACCGCTGTTAAAAATGTTTCCTATATAAAGATTAGAAGGTAAAATAGCTATCTTTTATAGTTCACGTATAGCAAAGCTATACCCTGGAGTATAGTTTTTGCTATCCACCCTAGGAAAATATTCATGCAATTGTTGCCGCCAATTTTGATTTCCAGCAATAAATCTTTAAACTGATGATGTCATAATGACTTCAGTAGCATTGTGACGTCATCAGGATTTCATATTATTCTTGCAGGATTATAATACTCCTAAAGAAATTCCACTGGTTGTGAGTGGGATAGCTCTTTTATCAAACACTTGACAGAGAACTATTCCCCTCGGGCAAGCCCTCGGGGAATATTTATCTGTCACGTGTTTGATGAAAGAGCTATCCCACTCACACCCAGTGGATAAGTATAAAATGTTGACATGTCTTTCTGTAGAGAGGATTTTGTCCGGACCTGTTCTCTTAAAATAGGACATGATGGATTTATTCTGAAAATCTGTAGACTAATGATTCGTTTTATGAAGTGATCAATGCACCTGGTATTTTCGTATCCCCCACTTGAAAAGCTGGAGGATATATAGTAATCAGTATGTCTGTCCGTCTGTCTTATGTCCCTTTGTCCATCCGTCTGTTATGCTTTGGGGTACCCATCTGTTACCAAAACTTTTCTCATACCACTTTTTGATATGATTCGGGCCTCCCAGAGCAAAACATGGACTTTTACCAATATGACCATATGTATGGGAGGCAGGGGGGAAGGGGAGTATCATTTTGTGAGCTCAGAGCTCACAGTACATCCAGTTTAATATAAGTTTTTAAAAAGTAGTTCTACTTGATCATGTTGATTGATGTTTTAATCATGTTATTTTCTCTGTCATGTAATTATAACTCTTAAAAAAATTTCAGGCGCATCTATACCAACACTTTCGGATGAAGTGCCTGAGGTACATGTGCATGAATTACACACTCACACAAGTAAGTACATGTAATTCCAAGTATTTTTAATTCTTGCAGTCATTGTCATGTTTATGAAATGTTAAGCCTTCTGGCTATGAACCTCAGCAATCATTTATATAGCCAAATTTTTAAATGTCAATTTTTTTTTATTAAATAGAAATATTGTATAGAATGTATTCCAAGTTTGCAATTTGTAGATAATATTAAATCAAGTATGATGTTCTATCTCATCATAATGTATTTATTTCTTAACATTATTTTTATTTCCTTTAACAGAAAAGCGTGTTCCCTGGAGTATTCCTGAAAAGAAAGTGGTTTTAAACCATTTTAAGAAGACCATTTTACTTGGGAGACTTCCAGGAAAAAAGGATATAGAGGATCTAATAAAAGCTGATAAGAAAAGCATTTTGACCAACAGAAGTTGGAAAAATATTAAGGACTTTATTCGAAACCATATGACGAGCATAAATAGAAAAAAATGAAATGTCAAAACAAATAAGAACTAAGGTCTCATTTTAAAACATCTATCCGAAAATAGATATGGGTTGGTTACAAGATTAAATTTCATAAAGCTCGAATTTAATCTCGTACCAACCCGTATTTATAGCCAGATAGATGTTTCAAAATGAGATCTTATTAGTCCCCTACCGATGAAACCAGAGGGGACTATAGGTTTCCTCTGTGTCTGTCCATCCATCTAGCTGTCCCCATCTGTCTGTCAGTCTTTCATACTTGGTTTTCCGCACTTTTTTTCTAAACGCTTGCAGATATTGAGATGAATTTTGGTATGCCAGTGTATTTTGATGAGTTACAGATCAAGTTTGAATTTCGTTTCGCTTCATTGTTTTTTGACAGAATTGTGGTATTTTGAATTTTTCATAATTTATATAAAACATCAGGTTCATGCTGTGCTAAATGGTAAATATGAAGTGAGAAAAAGATGCTGAATGAGTTGAATTTTCTTCTTTATGTGGATAATTTTATTAGTTTAAAGGCATTCACAACCTTACAACAAGCAGTTCTACCCTTAATATAACTTTTGCATGTTATAAAATGACTTCTTGAAGAAAAAGAAAAACCCGGTAGGGGACATATATTGCTTATGCAATACTCTCAGAATGCTTGTTACTTATATTAAATTTGTGACTTATTCACACTTTATATTTGCATGATTGTGACATTTAAAGTGTGAAATGCATTTTTTTTCAAACCCAACAGCATGTATGTAATCCACTGAACATGGGTCGACCCTCTATGACGTCACTGAGAAATTAGTTTATCTATTCGCACATCTATGACCTCTTGACCCCTGTACCGGTATTTATACAGTTACAGATACACATTGCTTTCAGTAGTGTATATAAAGGAAAGATTTGCAAATGTAATAATCAAATTTTGGGTTATAAGTTTGTCATACCATGATACCAACTTGCAAATTTATTTAAGAAAGTCCGTAGGGCTTTATTGAATTTAATCTCGTGACCATCCCGTATTTAAATCCCGATAGATGTTTTAAAATGATACCTTAGTTCTTAATTGTTTTGACAATGGCTATTGTGCAACAAATATGGAAGTGAAGAAGTAAATCTCAACAAGGACAAAATTTTGTTAATAATTTCATAAAACAATCAACTTTTATGTATACTTTAAATGTGCACAAACTGTAGAGTTAGTATTTGTTTGTATTGTATTAGTTTTTTTATAAAGCATACAAAATGAAAATGATCAATACTTCATGCTAGTTGGCCTCTTCCTTTTTTTTTACTTTTCAAAGTAAACATGTAGCTGCAAATATCCTCTTTACATAATATAATTTTCTTTTACATCACAGCATATGAATCTTTAAGAGTCAATGATCATATCAAAGACATGATTAAATACTAGTCCTTGTTGTAAATATCATAGGAAAGTGATTAGCATGTTTAGAAAAAACTTTGGAAGATAGTAACTTTATATTATAAATTCAAATATTGTATACAACTTTTACCAATTTTATGCTAGAGGTATTCCTTTTTTCCTTGGAAAAATAGGATGTCTTGTTTGAAACACCTTTAAAACCTCTTGATTGGTTATTGTTAAAGATTTTCTACTGGTAATTGTAGTAGGTGTTGAATTTGAATTATGTTGAAAATTACAAGAGGGTAAGGTATGTGTATTATTACCTTAACAATTGATTTATTCAAATTTATAAAAGAAATACATTTATATAATATTATGATGTAATCATGTAATAGAGGATATTATATTTAATATATTCTGATCTATATTTTTAAACTTGTGTCAATATTTAAAATCTTTGAATTGAATTTTTAGGATTTAGATGTTAAATGAAAATGGTATATGAAAACATTCAATAAAGATCTGTTATCTTATAGTCATTGTTGATCTTTCCAACAGATTGCTGATATTATGTGACAAGATATCTTTAATAACATTCAAATTTAAAAGATGACCAATTTTTTTTTTCTATCTGATGGATTATTTTCTAGAATGCAATGTATTTCTGATGAAATTTTTGAAACAGAATTTTATCCAATGAAATTCTCTTAAGAATTGTGTGAGCCATTATGTATTAATTTAGGTTCCATAGGTCCTTAGGATGAGAGGGCATTACAGGAAGGTTTCAAGGGGGGGGTATAAAAGTGCATGTAAATGTACTAGATTTGATTTTAAAGTGTTTATGGATTATATTCTATAGCTGAGCATAATCAAAAGTCAATACTGGTATTATACAATTATTGACAGAGTTCGAGGGCAACATGCGCTTTGTCGGGCTCAAGAACCAAACTGTCTGCCTGAGGCCTTTAGGGTCCGTCAGAACACATTTTGCACGAGAACTCTGTCAATAAATGTTTTGAAAATATAATTTTATGTTATGTTTTTTGACATCCGTGTACCATTGAGTCTGCCACTGTTTAACACCAATGAATGAAAATGAGATCAAGCTCCGCCCATTCTGTGAGATAAGCGCTCCAACATCATACTCGTGGTCCAACATCGATTTTTTTATGCCAGCTCAGCAAAACATTAAAAATGTTAAACTTTTTTGGTAGGGATTAGTATAAGACAATTTTTTTTGTTTTTTTTTCATTTTGAATATGGTCATTTTTGGAGTGGGTATTATCAGAGCCTGCCTCCCCCGTCAGACTTTGTACTATATTTTTATAGTTGTAAGTATGTCAAATGACAATCGTGTCACTTGTTCAATACTCTAATTCTGAGATAAAAGATTTGGAAAATCATAAATATAAAACAAGTAGCTTTGAATTTGATTTGTAAACTATGTTAAAATAGTTTAGGGCTGTCTTTTCAGAAGATACTTTCAAATTGTAATTTGTATCTTATAAAAATTTGAAATTAATTATGTTTATTATAAAACATGCATGATAAAGAAACAGGCAGAAAAGATACATAAATTTAAAAAGTATACACGTAAATGTGGGGCTTGATCTTGTCCACCATATTTAAATTCCATGAATCATGCTGCGACGATGAGGTCAGTGAAGTCAAATTGATTTTAAGACAGATTGCTACATTTTAATATTGTATGAGAAGAAAATTTGAATATCATTTTGCAATAACTGTTCGTTATTTCTGATTTTGATTCAAAATATCAAGCATCCAAGTACCTATTAAGCAGGGATCTTAATCAGTAATGAGAACGGTGCTAATGAGTGAATAAAACGCACAAAAGAGAGAATTTTATTTTTTTTGGAAATGTCCCCGTTTAGATACAATAAAACAAGAACTTCATGGTGTGTGAATATTAATGAGTGTGAAATAGGTCCCCGTTTGTGCTGTGAAATGTGCTTAGCTTAAAACTAAAGATATCAATATATTCTGGTTATTTTTGTCATCTTGGTTATAGGGTGATTAATATTCTAGGTCAAAAGTCAATGAAATAATGAAAATAAAGAAGTCCCCACTTTGACAGTCTTTAACCCCTGTCCCCGTTTGACACCCTTCACACGTAAGGGTGCGTGTGTGCGTGTGTGCGTTTTTGTGTGTGTGTGTAGGGCTCAAAAGTGCGATGGGACTCAAAAGTCCGATGGTCACGCCAAAGTCCGATGGTCTGCGCCAAACCCCGATGGTTTGACACGCCAAAGTCCGATGCATGGTTCGGAAAACAATTAACATTTATGACGTCATAGTACTACTGCGCAAAAATGCGATGCTACGCAATGCCAATAAATAAATGAATACAAATATCATAAATACGAAGATTAACCCTCGTCTTTTGGATGAAAGAAAAACAAGCAAAACATATGCTAGATTAATCATTTTATTTTAAATAAAATGGATTAAAATGCTTCAATTTATAAACATCTTTTTTGTTTCACATATCTAGGTCTGATTAACTTGGGTGTAAAATGTAACAGCCAGTGGTGCGCTTGAGGTTGGACAGTCAGTCCGAATATTCATGAGGTAAGATAAGCAATGGATATGTGTTCAAAATGTACTAAAATGACCCACTTTTCATAACTGTTTCTATTACTCTATAGGTAAAAACTCCTACATCAACAAATACATGGGTGCAAACATTTTTAACTCCAAAAGTTGTGCGGAGAAGAAAATACATGATTGGTCATTAACAGAAAAGACTTGCTTTGTTTTTGACAAGTGAAATAAAAGGTGACAAAATCTCATATCAAGATATACAAGGCTTTTTTGAGATGTATATTAATCATTGGTAAAAAATTGTGGGGAGGGTGATTTTTATTTGGTGCTGAACGCACCTAGTTGTAAAGAAATGGAATTTGAAAGGAAAAGTGCAACGACAATGTATATTTTATCTGGTATGTTTTGATTTGCAAGATGTGGTTCTTTCACGGCAAGAAAGTCATTTGCCCAAAATTCAATATATGTATCAGTGACTGGGGCTCAACTTTGTATGGAAGTCTATTGGAAAACATTTCTTTGTGTTTTTTATCTGTGTTCAGCTTTAAAAGAAGATTAGTTTTATTACAATGAATATAATGTGACGGCATTTTACATTAAAAAGTGAAATATAAAAAAGAAAAAACATTACCTAAATATGTTTTCTTTCAAAATTAAGGAAAGTTAAATAATCTAATGAAATAATTCATATCGTATACATTTATTAGTTAGTTTGTTGTAAACATGATAAACTCATGTGAAAAAACAAAGAAAAATGCTTCAAATGAATATCTGATATAAAACCTCAGTCTGTACATTTTTGTAGAATCGTACAATGTACATGTAAAAAGCACTATTTATCGAAAGAATTATTTTTACTGATATTGATATTGCAAAACTACTGCAATAAAATGATTGATTATGTATATCAAATTGAAGAAAAAAAACTAACAGTAAATACAGACTGTAACTTTGACAAAATGTTTTACATACTTTACGTTTATTGCAAATTAGGTACATATTATACCAGCATCCTCGCCATGATTGCAGTGCGTAACCTTGTAACCAGCGTGCTTACAATCGAAAATGGATGGCTCTGTCCCCTGACAATAGACGTGACTTCGCCAAATAGGTCCCGTTCCTCGTCCAAAGTAAGCTGCCTTGCGAGCAGTAGATTTTCTATGAATGAATTTGTGTCATCAAAGTGCGTCGTTACCTATTGCATAAGTACAAAATATATACATGTGCAGCAAATATTTACCCTGAATATCCAAGACTTCTGCAAACAACCCGTGCGTCATTGTCGTCCCAGCTGTGATCACACACACTGCCCCATCTCCCGTGGATAAACAGCTCTACACGCCCTTCGTTACTTGAAGTCCCATTGACAAGTCTAATGAATCCTTTATATGAAAAAGTATAATTCAACAGATTATGGTACACCTGTAAACTAAAACATTCTTTGATATACAATATTGCTTATTTTTAGTAACTAAAATCTAAATTAGTTTATCCGTAATGACGTATTTTTATGCGCCCGATTTGAAAGATCCGGGGCGTAAATTGTCTGTCTGTTTGTTTGTTTGTCTGCAAACTTTAACCTTCGCCATTACTTTTGAATCATGAAAGATAAAGACTTCATATTTGGTATGCATACTCCACTAATTAAGTTCTTTCAAATGACACCAAGGTCAATTGTGACCTTGACTGTGACCTATATGCTGAAATAGCTTTTTATCTGTAAAATTTTACTGTTGCCATTACTTTTAAACCATGGAAGACAGAGACTTCATATTTGGTATGCATACTCCACTTATCAAGCTCTTTCAAATGACATCAATGTCAACGATCTTGTGACCTTGACTGTGATCTGTATGTTAAAAAATAGTTTTTTAGTACCTTTGCCATAACCTCGAACCAAAGAAGATAGAGAAAGAATATTAAGCATGCATACTCCACTAATTAGTCTCTTTAAAATGACACCAAGTTCAATGACCTTGTGACCTTGACTGTGACCTGTATGCTCAAAATAGTTTTTTCGTACCTTTGCCATAACTTTTGATCCACAAGAGATAGAGACTTTATATTTGGTATCCATACTTTACTAACCAAGTTCTTTCAAATGACACCAATGTCAATGGCCTTTTGACCCTGACTGTGACGTATATGTTAAAATAGCTTTTTTAAAAAAAATGTTGCCACCGGGCTCGTAGTGTTTCACAAACACACCTTTTTGTAATAAAACAGAATAACTTGAATTATTGTACTTCAAGACTGAATCAAAAAGTATTAGTAGAAATACCATGTAGTATCTGATAAAATCATATAGTGTGTATTGAAAGTTTATAGCAAAGCCATTAAAACTTTAAATTAAAAGTTTTTGAGTAAGAATATTAGTATTGGCATGAATATTAGTATTATGCTCATTTTATTGAAATTTTTTAATGTTGGAGCACACATTATTTGTTAAACCCTTAGTAGTTACCGTATGCATTTCAGACTGATACACACTACCTTCATTAGTGTTTACATTTTATAACATAAAAGGTCATAGTTTAGCTATTTTCAGACTGTAGATGAGTAATGTAGTCTCAAATGAATATACGTATCAATAGGTTTAGGTAGTCCGAAATATCTGACGTTTTCTGGCTTTTTCTACGATTTTGATATTTTACGTGCCAGGAAAAGGTCAGAACCGGCGCCATTATGAAAACTGGGAAATCGCCGCCTCCAAACGGAGTCGGCATTCCCGAGTTGTTCATAGATACTTGCTAACCGAATTAAATTTCAAAGTCACAAGTTATGAAAAGTACGATAATTTGAGTACTTACCAATATCGTTTCTATGGTTCATTTATAAAATATACAATCCGTTGAAAACATATTTTATCCATCTTCGCTAGCTAAGGGTGACGAAGAAAAGAGGAGAGGAGCGGGTCGTCACCCTTGGCTAGCAAAGATGCCTATATACAATATATAGTCGATGGCGTAATTGAGATCGATTGCGATGCTCAGCATAATGAAATTCTTCATTTTTTTTAACCATTAACAAGACAAAAAATATTTTCTCTTTGCACTTACTTCTTAAATTTCTGTTGTACATGTAAATCTTTTATTTCCTATAAATAGCCTTTATAGAGGCATCTGGAAAAGTCCATATACAGTGCATTGTTCTATACTTACTTTTCATATATTCTTTATATCTTTTCACTTCAGTATAACATTCCACTTCTATTGCACCAGTATTACTGCAGTCTCCTAGGCCGATGGTTCCAAATTTACATCCAGCTAATGTTCTTTCCGCTCCAGTACACTTAAAACCTTTTATATACAGTTCACCAAATGTATTCCCACCTTGTCTACGGTTTACAATCCTACCATATCTACAATATAAGAATTGTCCTCTTCAGAAAATGCTTATATAATATTTTGATAATCTTTTTTCACTATAATGACGTTGCGCACGGGGTTGGTACTAAAGTAGCTAACTCTTTATGTCGCAAAGAAATTTGCGGTTTCGCGATGTCATATTTACATTAAATAATAAATAAATCATTTATGCTATGTAAAGTAATGAATAATTCTTAAAATTTTCTTTTAAATGATTTAAAATTATTTTAACTATGATGAGGCGTTACTAAGTATTGGTCATTTACGGCGAAATTCCCGTGTCCGACGTAACATCAATTATTGTTCGCGCAACTAAAAGGTATGAAAAAATGCACTTAAAATTCTCTAAATTAAATGAAATTTAGGGGGTACAATAAAATATATGCATTCTTTAAGATATTGTTGAGTTTTTAAATCATTTTATTAATTTCATGAATTTAAATTGGATCTATAGTGCGTAAGTAAAATGTCTAACAATAAGAAATCGTTTCCTTACACTGACATTAGCCGAAATGAAGATATGTACCAGACATAAATCCCAGAAAAATATTAATTTTGGTGAATAATCTTTAAGTACATTTATTACACACTTAGTAATAAATACAGGTTTTTTGCATATATGCGATATGGCTGACGTCACAATAGCCGTATCAGCCCTGCAGGGCTGATATGGATTTGCAGGGCTGATATCCGTATCAGCCCTGCAAATCCATATCATCCCTGCAGGGCTGATACGGCTATTGTGACGTCAATATCACACCCTTCGTAAATTAAACCACTAAAACAATACTTGTGATCATACACAATTTTTGGTGGGTTCATATTCTCCTAATTTTAACTTTTTGAAAATAAGGTTAATCTTAATTTACAAATAATTTATACATGTAATACTATAGATTATTTTCAAATTACTACGGATCAAGTGCATTGAAATAGAAGTAGAAACAAACCCAAATCGTATGAAACATTAGACTATGTACATGTATGTAAGAAGTACATGCATGATTATTTACTTATTTTCTTCTCAACTGAATTTGTTCTGTATTTTATTACTAAGTATGTAATAAATATAATAAAACATACCCTTTTCCACATCACATCCTGTATCAGCCCTCGACCAATATCAGCCCTCGGGCCTTCGGCCCTCTGGCTGATATTGGTGTCTCGGGCTGATACAGGATGTGATATGGAAAAGGGTATGTATTATTCTCTATATATTTCTTAGATTAACTGAATTGATACATTTTACATTACTTTTCCAACGTAAATATTAGGAAGGCTTTCTTAAGTGTAGCCATTTTGTTATGCACACACGAGTCACTGTATTGTTAGTAAATATGTCTCAGTAACATATCAAAAATATATAAACTAATGTAAGATATAAAGCAATCATTTATGTAGCTTGAAAGAACATTTAATGCTGCATTTACTAATTACACAGTCTTTACAGTAATGGTCTACATAAAATAAATGCAAGCATCAATAAAAGTGTAGCCATTTTGTCACGGGTACGAAAAACGTCATTTTACGCAATGTGTACATATGACGTCAGGAGCGTCAAATAATTATCGCCGTGGCTTTTTTCATGCAGGTCCGTAGTACCAGCTCGCAGGTACTTGTGGACATGCAGGAACCACCCCCACCCCATCCCCGATATTAAACCCAGAGATTGTTGGAGATTTTTTCACAAATTATATTTCTTACACTTAATCATCATGTGTACATGTACCAAAGGAAAAAAATTATGAAAACCCCAAAATGATATCTTTCCACAAAATATACCCTACTAAACGAAGTATGCATTATAAGAGCCCCCTCCCCCCTAAATTCTTTCACCAAAAATAGTAAAAAGATGTTTAGAATTTTCGTGATAAATGATAAACCAGATTTTCAATAATGGTGAAACGTCTCCATCCCTCCTTTTTTCATCCCCTCAATATACTAAATTGATACTTATTTTTTTAAATTCAAAATGACACCAGTTCCATTGAAACGTAGGAAGTATAAAAAAAATTTAACTCTCATTCATTTTCTCTATACACCCAAAGCGCATGCTTTATAGAAATAAAAGACTTGTAATAACCTAACTGAAAAAAAAATATTGAAGGAGGTTGAAAGGGAAAACTACTTATATATTTTCTCCTTATAAGACAGACAAGTGAGAAAAATAGAAAGAGGAATATTCACTGAGTGCCTTTGGCATTTCAGTAATTCAAATTTATTTTTAAGATTTATTAATAAACATCTAAATATTTCAAAAAAAAAAAAAAAGGTTCAAACAATGAACATTATGTGCCCTTTTATTTTATTTTTTTATATTTTGAAAAATGAAATTCATTTTAAATCCTAAAATATGCATGTACAAGGTTCAAAACGTTATAACAACGTTATGACTTTTTAACGTTATTTTGACGTAACGTCAATATGACTACCAACACCGTGCGCAACGTCTATGTAATTTTTGTGTATATGTATTTTCAATGATTAATGAACCAATTACATCGAAATAAAACTAAAGAATAACTAATGAACAATGACATTGTAATAACACACTAAATTTAGAAATCAGATATAATTTTGAGAGTTTTGAGAGTTTCATTGGGATGTGACATGAAGTCGGTCACGTAATCAAATTAAATAACGTCCGACGGGCATTATTGCCTATTGACAAAATACATCAAAATAACACGCACATATGACATGACTCAAAAAGTAACGAACAATGACAAAAACACCAAGGTATACATGTATAACTTAATGAACAATATCATCGAAATGACACCAAAGTATGAGGTAATTCAGAAACTAATGAACAATGATAAGGAAATAAAACCAAAACACAACGTTACACTGGTAAGAATAGAGACCAAATATTTTATCTTAGAAACATAACAAAGCTTTCATGGTAGTGTTGTATAGGTCCTTAAGCTTTTCGAGATTATATTTTTATACAATTTTAAGTGGGTCATTTTCGAACTACTTTTTATATCGGGGCTTTTTCGAAATGGAATCAAATTACACCGCAAAAATCCCGAGAGAGGTAGAGAGAGAGAGAGAGAGAGTTTACCCAGAGTAGCCAAGACTTCTGCAGATGACCTTTGCTTCCATGTACTCCCAACTGTCTTTACAAAATCCAATCCAAATACCATTGATAAGCACCTCTGGATTGACTACGCTGTTATTTGTTGTAAAATTTTCGTTTTCTATTCGAATTATGTCTAAAAAGAGTTTTGAAATCAGTGGTTAAGTAACATCATCTCTCTTTCTCTCTCTCCCAATCTCTCTCTTACCATTAGTGGTGTTGTAACAAACGACTCCTGCGTGTCTACCATTGTTACAGACGTTGGTTCTGCTTATGGATCGTGCACATTTGATCAAAGAATCTTCATATCCATTACAGTTAATGTTGGTCACAGCCATTTGGCCCTTTGTCTCTCCAAACACAGAGGATGAACTTGATAAAGCCGGGATTCCTCTACCAAAATATTACCATAAACTTTAATCACAGTTAGGGTTTAATTAAGGAAACCAAAGAGAGAAAATGTATGTAGATTTCCATCTTAATCTGTAATCATGCCCAAGACTTGTTACAACAAAAATGAAATCATCAGTTTATTTTACATGTTAAGAAATTAGTTCTGCTTTTACAAAAAACTGCATTTGCATTTCTCTTTTTAGCACTTATTATGCACCATGTTTAGCAGACCTATTTTTTTTTTGGTATTTTAGTGAATCGGGAAACTTTCAAAACTATTTGCAATCTTTTACGGGAAAAGAAGAAGATTTCTCTTTCTTAGGTCTTAAATTAAACATTTTGATATATCAACGACATTTTATCAATTAATAATATTTATTTCCATTCCTGCGTTGAATCGATATATCCCTTTCAGCTCAAAATAGGATATACCACAGAGTCTGCCACATTTTTTTTATATTCAGATATTTAAAACTAGGAAAAGACTTAAATGTCAACCCCAAAACAAAACTTGATAATAAACGTGATGGCTCCAATTTTTCCTATCGTCAACTTAGTTCCTTTGAGTTTATGTCTCCTAGTTGATTTCATGCGCAAGAGCATGTCTATACTCTACGTCCATGTACTAAGAATTTCTAAAACAAGTCGAGCTGGTGGCAGACATTATGATTGAATAAGAATACTAACAGTGTCGTTTAATATGCAACATTTCGCAAAGGCTTTGTGACAGTTACACAAATGCTTTGTGAGAGCTTTGTTACAGTGACATGGTCGGTAAATATTGTCTTTCATTAAGGCAAATAATGACAGCCCTTTCTCATAATCGTTAATTTCTCTGAATTTCACGTTTTTCCCTCGATGGGGATGAGGAGGGGAAGGCGCGCGTGACCGGTCGACACGGACTGCTTATTTCATTTTGACACCTGATCCCACCTCTGATTTTTTTTAAAGACCCGAGTTTGTTATGTTCTTTAAATTTCTATTGCTTTAATCAACTTTTGCGCTTGATTCCTATTTTTAAAAAAAGGATTTATAAAATCTAGTTGATCAAAAGAAGTTGCATTGAATATAACGTTTGATTACCCTGAGTACCCTAGTCCTCTACAAGTCACATTAGCATCATTTGTGTCCCACATATTGTTGCACACACTTCGCCATTGTCCATTTATGAAAACCTCCACTCGACCTTCATGTACAGAGCTACCACTTATCATTCGTACTAAATCTGTAATAAAGCAAATGATTATTGATTTTAAAGAAAAAAACTAGTAGACAAAGCCCTAGGAAAAGGCTTAAATGTAAAAATATTTTTGTTAGTACCAGGGTATTAGATTGATTAGTTATATAAGTCCTTTACAGGAATACTGCAGTATATATCTCATTAGACGTTGAAATATATGAACTTACCATTTTCTGAATGGTAGCAAACAACTCCTGCTGCCCCACCACTACAGCTGCTTGATCCAATTGTAGATTGTCGACACTTCAGCAAGGAATCTTCACTTCCATTACAATTTATACCATTCAACCATATTTCACCACCGCCTTCTCCAAACAGAGAAGATAGGACCGGGAGTCCTCTACAGAAAATATTAAATCAATATTTACAGGTGTAATTTATTATGGTGGTTGCTTACTGTAACAAATTGTATATATACTGTATACATTTATCCTCTATATCTTCGTCATTTTCAGCAAAATCTCTCTCACAGTTATTTTTTTTCTATTTTGAGTGTCTTAATGTCTATATGACATTATCCGTTCATTTATCAAACAATTTAGTCAGTGTATAGCCATTATCATTTAGCAATAATTCAATACCAATTCAAAATCGTCGAATTTGAAGTATTATTACATTGAAATGAAAAGTTATTTCTAATACAGCTGTATCAGTACATATAAATTCATATCCTAAAATAATCTAAAATTAAAAAAAGATGTTCCCCAAACGCTCCCCAACTCCCTTTTTGGTAAAAATTCAATAAATAAGTTTTATGCAGATGCATTTGCATGATGACCATAAACAAGCTAATTTAGCTATCTTTTTCTATATTTGGCCATTACTGTTTGGTTGAATTACCATCCAAAACAATTTAAAGTTTAAGCAATCAGATTACAGTTCACATGTATGCACAATTTCATGAAATTATTACCCTTTATCAAAACCTATACGGATATCCTAATGCATGCATGTTTTAGCTATCAAAGCATTAATATTCTGACTTTCTGTTTCAACCTATAAAAGAATCAAATGCATATGACATGAGGAGATTTAATTTGTAATAAACATACATTCAATGTATCCCATGAAAAATTATGGAAAATCCAATTTAGCCATTGTTAAATCAGATTGCACCGCACGTGTCCGCCATTAAATCATACTGTTGTATATCAATTATGACTATGAAACAAAGCATTTCAAAGTAACGATTTTTGTTCACCAATCCATGAGCAACTTCCGTGCATGCGCGTGCAATGTGCATGATAACCATACCTTTTTGTAAGAGTCTATAATGTCCCTCTCCAAACACAGATGTTTGGTTGAAAATCAAGGAAGTTATAGCCATTTAAAGTTGGTTAGCCAATTGGCAGCAATGCGCGTGCTTTCATATTTTTTATTTGAACATTACATTTTCTGCATGACTATGTTTAAAATTTCAAAGCATTTCGGCAAAAAACAAGAAAATTGCAGATTTTTGTTTCAGCCATATCGGAGAAAAGGAATGCATGCGCGTGACATTTGATTGCAACGATGTTATTAATACATTACAAAAATCCTTATACAATGATTTTAAGGTTTCAAAAAAAAATGTAAAAGGCGTTTTAAAGTTGAGTCATTTCACGATATCACGGCTACGCAGTGTTTGCGCGCAAAATTAAGAGAAATTACCCTAATATCACACCTTTTACAAAAAAGGTTTTAATCAGTTTTAACATCCTTTATTGCAAATACTTCGGACCAAAAAAGTTTATCAAGACTTCAAAAAAAAGAATAATAATATTAAGAAACCGACCAATCAACAATTCTTAAACGTTTCTAAAAAAAAATTGGTAAAATTATCCTATACTAGTATTTTAAGATGGCATAACAAGCTATTTTATCTACCATTTTGTTGGAGACTTTACCCTGAATATCCTAAACTTTTACAAGTGACATCAGCATCCGTCTTGCCCCATCCTCTGTCACAAACATTCTGCCATTCACCCTTTATCATAACCTCGACCCGACCTTCGTCTGCAGAGCTACCGTTAACTATTCTGACTGAATCTATAAAAGAATCAAATAATAACGACAAGAGGGTGTTTAATTTGTTAATAAACATACATTCAATGTAAATGAAAAATTATCCTTTTGAAATACCGTTTCCATTGTGGTAACAAACGACCCCAGCGTGTCCACCATTACTACAGCTGTTAGATGCAATTACTGACTGAATACATCCCAGTAACGATGGTTCACCTCCATGACAATTTCCTGTGGACAACATCCATACTGAATCAGGTCCCTCTCCAAACACAGAGTGGGAAACCGGGAGACCTCTGAAAAACAAGCCAGGGTGGTTGTGGAAGTGATTTGGAGGAATTCGACTCTTACATATTTTTTATTTGAACATTACATTTTCTCAGACCAAACAAACTTTATGTACAATTGCACCATTCTAAAGATATCCAGAAAAGGAATAAAAATTTTTGAACTTTTAACGCTTGATTAATACATTTAAAAGTAGATTTTAGGTAAAAAATTATTTTTTTTCTTGATAGGCAAAATGTTTCAAAAATTAAGAGAAATTACCCTGAATATCCAATACTTTTACAAGTCACATCAGCATCATTTTTATCCCATCCTTTATTGCAAATACTCCGCCATTGCTCGTTTATCAAAACTTCAACTCGACCTTCATACTCAGAACTACCATTAACAATTCTTACCGATTCTAAAATCCAAAAATTGCAATTATCCTCGAGTATTTTACCATATATGTATAGATTTTGTAAAGTTAATGAATTATAGAAAAATGTATTTAAAATTCAGATCTTCCTCATTTACTGATAATTAATTATTGTGACCCCACCCAAGCTTCCAGATATTTAAAAAATTAAGGGCAATAGACGCTAATTAAAAAGCGTTCACATAAGTACAGCTAAAGTTGCCGGGATATATATTTCCTGTTTGATAAAAACAACCCCAGCATTTATACCAGAAGTACACACATCAGACCCAATTACTGATTTCGTAAGCCTATAGAGACTGTACATATCCCCAGCAGTGAACGCTGTTAAACATCCATATTTGACTAGGACCCTCTCCAAAAACAGAAGACGCGAAGGAATAATGCAATTCACCAAAATGATGACATACGTAAGATTTTTCCTATATTTTTCTATGATTCATTCCTTGTTTATAATTAGTCAACAAATCTATAGAAACCTTTATGTACAATTTACCATTGTAAATGTATAAAACTTTTAAAAATTTTTGAACTTTTAAGTTATTTACATTTAATAGATTTTATGAATTTCTAAATTATTTTTATTAAATATTTTATTAACATCAGTTTTATTATAATATGTCCTAGGACACCTTGTATATCCAAGACTCTTGCAAGTCACTTGGGCATCATGATTTGCCCCATCCTTGTCGCATACACTTCTCCATTGCCATATAAGTCAGAACTTCTACTGACCCTCATGAAAGATGCTACCATTAACTATTCTAACTGAATCTATAAAATTACAAATAAAACAAGAGGCCCATGGGCCACATCGCTCACCCTAGAAGCTTTGACCATTCTGTTCTTTACTAGATTTCCCCCTTGTTATACATATTGTGACCCCACCCAACTTCACTCATCATAATTTAGACAAGTTGAAATTAATACTACCCCAGGATGCTTTCACATAAGTTTCAGCTTTTCAAAGATTGTCCAATATATTTCTATGTAAAACTTTGATTCCCATTGTGGCCCCGCCCCCCCCCCCCCCTGGGGTCAACCCCCCGGTCATGATTTTAACAATTTAGAATCTACACTACCCTAGGATGCTTCCACACAAGTTTCAGCTTTTCTGGCCCAGTGGTTATTAAGGAGAAGAATTTTTAAGATTTTTCCTATATTTTTCTATGTAAAACTTGGATTCCCCATTGTGGCCCCGGGGGTCATGATTTGTACAATTTAGAATCTACACTACCCCACAATGCTTTCATATAAGTTTCAGCTTTTCTGGCCCAGTGGTTCTTGATAAGAAGATTTTAAAAGTTTTTTCCTATATATTTCTAAGTAAATCTTTGATTTCCCATTGTGGCCCCGCCCAACCCCCTGGGGTCATGATTTGTACAATTTAGAATCTACACTACCCCAGGATGCTTCCATATAAGTTTCAGCTTTTCTGGCCCAGTGGTTCTTGAGAAGAAGATTTTTTAAAGATTTTTCCTATATATTTCTATGTAAAACTTTGATTCCCCATTGTGGCCCCGCCCTATCCCCGGGGGTCATGATTTGAACAATTTAGAATCTACACTACCCCACGATGCTTTCATATTAGTTTCAGTTTTTCTGGCCCAGTGGTTCTTGAGAAGAAGATTTTTAAAGTTTTTTCCTATATATTTCTAAGTAAATATTTGATTTCCCATTGTGGCCCCGCCCAACCCCCTGGGGTCATGATTTGTATAATTTAGAATCTACACTACCCCAGGATGCTTCCATATAAGTTTCAGCTTTTCCGGCCCAGTGGTTCTTGAGAAGAAGATTTTTAAAGATTTTTCCTATATATTTCTAAGTAAATCTTTGATTTCCCATTGTGGCCCCGCCCAACCCCCTGGGGTCATGATTTGTACAATTTAGAATCTACACTACCCCACGATGCTTCCATATAAGTTTCAGCTTTTCTGGCCCAGTGGTTCTTGAGAAGAAGATTTTTAAAGATTTTTCCTATATATTTCTTTGTAAAACTTGGATTCCCCATTGTGGCCCCGCCCTACCCCCGATGGTCATGATTTGAACAATTTAGAATCTACACTACCCAAGGATGCTTTCACATAAGTTTCAGCTTTCCTGGCCCAGTGGTTCTTGAGAAGAAGATTTTTTAATGACCCAACCCTATTTTTGTCTTTTCTTGATTATCCCCCCTTGTAAGGGGACTTGGCCCTTCATTTTTACAATTTAAACTCCCTTTTACCTAAGGATGCTTTGTACCAAGTTTGGTTAAAATTGGCCCATTGGTTCTTGAGAAGAAGTCGAAAATGTGAAAAGTTTACGGACGGACAGACGGCTGGACAGCTAGACGGACGGACGGACGACGGACACAATGTGATCAGAAAAGCTCACTTGAGCCTTCGGCTCAGGTGAGTTAAAAATGGATAAATCAACTAATATATCAATCTTTGAAATCTTGAATTATCAACTGTTCTCTTAACTCACCATTCCTTGTGTTGTAACAAACCACTCCAGCTGTATTACCATAACGACAAGTGTTTGATCCAATCACTGATTGTGAGCACTCAAAGAGAGACTTTTTATTTCCATAGCAATTCACTCTGTCTAACCATGTCCGGCCACTGCCTTCTCCAAACACAGAGGAGGAAACGGACAAACCTCTTTAAAACAAGAAAAGATGGAACCAAATATTTCCGAAAAAAAGAAGAAAAAATAAAGAAGAAAAGAAGATGAATTAAAAAAGAAAGGAAATTTACCCTTTATATCCAAGACTTTTACAAGTTATATCAGCATCACTTTTACTCCATCCGTTATCACATACACTTCCCCACTGGCCATTAATCAAAACTTCAACTCGACCCTCATCAACAGAGCTACCATTAACAATTCTAACTGAAGCTGAAATTGAATTTCAAAAAAAATCTTATATAAAAGTTTAGTATTTCCTAAAACAAAGTATACTTTATTGTCTTTACCCACCATTATTCGTAGGATTACATACAACTCCAACGATTTTTCCAGCATTGCACCTGTTGGATCCAGTTACCGAGTCTGCACACTGTAACAGATTACCCTCATTCCCATTGCAATTAATGCCGTCCAACCAAATGTGTCCATTACCGGGTCCGAAAACCGACGAATTCACCGCAGCACCCCTTTGAATCAATCCATAAAAATAAAAAAAATACGAAACATGCGACATGCAATGTTTCCTGCCATTTATCTTGATATCTGGTTTGTAAGAATTATAATGCAGAATGAAAGTCAAATAGCCTTGAAAACATTCGCAAATTTGAGTCAAGCAAACGCAAATTTCAAAAATTGACACGAAATCTCTTTCTGAAATGTTATGAGATCAGCGAAATAATTTTTTACGATGAAAAAATATATTTAACAAAGAATCTCTTGCAACTTAAAAGACATGATAACATTTTACCAAGAATATCCCAAGGAGCGACAAGCGACTTTGGCATCATTATTATCCCACACTTGATCACAGACAGCGCCCCATTTCCCATTGATAAACACCTCAATCAAGCCTTCGTTTGTAGAAATTCCTTTGGATAACCTGACATGGCCTGTCATAAAATGTAAAATCAAAAACATCAAGATTACTGCCTTAAAATCCAATCTAAAGGTCGTTGTACATGTATTTATAAAATACATTCACGTACGGTTTGGAAGAAAACAAACAACTCCGGCATCTTCTGAATGAGTACAGTTGGCTGTGGTTGAATGAGGACAGTCGAGAACATCAGTTTCAGCACCACTACATTGTAAATCTAAATAGACAGTTCCTGCTCCTTTTCCAAATACAGCAGTTGAAACTGCCATACCTTGCCTTTTAAATATTGAGGTAAAAAAATACACCTTGTTAGTTGCTGATAACCCTGGCTTTAAGTATGAAACAACAATAATAACAGTTACGTTTTTAAATCTTTGACGAGGACTCTTAAACGGACACACACACAAATAAATAAATAAAATTTTGATCTTTTATAAACATATCTAATTATGAAGACATTCACCTTTCTAATCCAAATAGTTGTTTACAGACCACATTAGCATCATTAGAATCCCAGCTGTCAACACACACTGTTCCCCAGACTCCATCCTTATAGACCTCCACCCTTCCTTCCCCTGATGAACTTCCATTTACAAGTCGTAAACCTTTGAATCAGGAAAGCATTGCATAACAATAGCCTTAAACATTTGGTTTTTATTGAAATTCAAACTTCTTGTTAAGGGTCACTGATACTTTGCAAAATCAGATCAGAATGATTTTTTTTATCTATATAGGGTTTAGATATATGATTTTAAAAATAATGATAACAACCGAAATGTGAATTTTCAAATTACTTGATATCAAAAAAAATAATAAACACAGTAATGAAGCATATAGATAGCTCAAATTTTAGTTCATGCTTATTTGGAACATGAAAAACGATTGGTAAATTAAGTATTTTTGATTCCATCATATTTCACGGTTTAAAATTAATTGTTTAAACGTTCAATTAGATATGTATTAATTTGCTAAATGTTCAACCTTATTGCATTTATTTCTTTTTTTAAAAATAAATTTTAAGAAAATTATGTTCAATTTTATTTTTTCCGACTAACCGATCACAAATTTTCTAACCGATTCTCATTGTTCCGACCGAGTAATCGGTTAACTGGTTACAAAAATTGCCATCCCTAGTAATAACAGTTTCTTCTTATTTTTATCGAATTCGTGCAATCGCAGCCGGGGTTTGAACCCAGGTCCTCCAATTATGGAGTGAACGTGATAAGGTTCATTCGTTGTCTGTAAATGAGGTATAACTAATATGAAATACATGGTTAAGCGATATTTGGGCGAGGGTAAGAAAACGTGATAGAGGGGGGGGGGGGCTTGCCGAGCCATCTTACGTTTTCGACCCGAGCCAAAATATCGCTCATATTTCTGCTCGTATTCTGACGTTCTAAAAGCATTGTGACGTCATGTATATTGCAATGTTTACGCT